CCTGATTTCCTGGTCTCCTAAGTTTGTATGGTGTTGCCTGTGAAATTTTCTTGGTTCTGAAATACAGTTCCTCAGCGTCTGAAATTTTATCCTCATATTTTGGACAACTGGGCACTGTGGTGAACTCTGCCAGGAGGAATTTTACTGGGTAAAAGAACATTCTGGATGGAGAACACATACATTTAGATGTCAGAGCATTATCCTGCTAAGTAGAGACGTGGGCCCTGAAGCACCTGAGTAGTGTGGTCAGCGTGGTCCAGGATGTTGACATTGAGTGTAGCACGAGAGCCTGGCTTATGGCTCCAGTTGTCCTTCCAGTTTTTGGTGTGTCACCAAAGTGTGTCTTGAGGACATTGTGGCAGTGTTGATGGAGTACTGTAAGGATCATCCCCCTTAATTTGGCGTGAATAAGTTCAGGAATTTATTCTAGGGAGAAAAATGTCTGCCTTCATATCCTCATATGTGAGACTGCTGACCAAACTATCATTCATGCAACAGTGTTCATTCCATGTGTGTGCCATTGTTCCTTCTTCAACAAATAAGATGTTGATTTATTGTGTTGAGGGAATTTATGAGTTCATGATGCCTACCTTATTGAACTCTACTGCATTTCTGTAGTTGAAAGTTCCTTTGATCTGCAGGGTTCCATGTATTACAAATGAACTTGTTATATATGTATTTGATTTTTGATTATGTGTTTTTGATGACACTCATCAGTGTTCTTTGTTTTATACCTGTAATTTGTGGGACTGTTTGATCAGGGAATGAATGTTGTTTCATGTATTTTACAAGATTTCCTTCCTGAGTACTAAGGGATATGGAGGAGCAGTCTTAGTCCAAAAACCTTTATCTGGAATTTGGTGAAAATAAAATCATAGTTATCTTTCCTATATCTCTTTTTCTTGAGTTAATACCTGCTTATTGACGAATACCTTTCTCATTGGAATGAATTTGGATTTTTAAAATTGAGCATATTGTGTATCTCCGTGCTATTCCTTATGTTCCACCCCTCTAGTTCCATCCTTGTTGATGCAAATGGTGCGTATGCATCCTTTCTGATGGCTGAGTAATATTCCATTGTATATATGAACCACATCTTCTTTATCCATTCGTCTTTTGAAGGGCATCTTGGCTTCTTTCACAGTTTGGCTATTGTGGACATTGCTGCTATCAACCTTAGGGTGCATGTGGCCCTTCTTTTCACTACATCTGTACCTTTGGGGTAAATACCCAGGAGTGCAATTGCTGGGTCATAGGGGAGCTCTATTTTTAACTGTTTGAGGAACCTCCA